GAGCCTCTTCGCTGGGCGAGCCCATGTCGGACGAATGCGGGGTGCGACGCGCGGAGCTAGATGGCGTGCTGTGCTGGGATGCGCGGTGCAGGTAGCGCTGTGCCGATGCGGAATCGACCGAGATGCGGCTGCGTTGAGTGCCAAGACGGCCCTCGTAGTCAGCCGACAGGGCTTCTTCCGCCGCCGCATCCGAAGCGTATCGCCGACGTCTGGGCGATGTGTATGCATGCGTACGCGGTGCGGCGCCTTCCTCGCGAATCTCGTTCAAGCTGTCACGTCTGGTGGAAAGAGGACTGTGCGGCACAGAAGCCCCTTCGGACTCCCGGGAGGATTTGGCGTCTGAAACCAACTCTTCGCGCTCTTCGCTTCCCGCCGAGTCGTCTGGTTCGCTGGCTTGGCGCTGGTGCGCAGCACGGTAGGCGCGGCGGATCTCCTTGTCTGGCAAACGGAACTCGGCCGGCATAGGGCTGCGACTTGAAGATGCCAGGCTGGGTGACGCTCGATCGTCAAGGGAGCGTCGTGCTGAGGCGCGTCCTGACGTCCTGGCCAGTCTTCTGACGGAGCCGGACGAAGTGTCACCGACGTCGGCGTAGCGCGAGGATCTGGCCGAGAATGGCGTGGAAGGCGAGGAAGCACCGTCTCGGCGCGTGTAGGTTCGCGACTCGGACCTTGCCTGCTCCGTTCCGCGTGCTTCGCCGTCGTCGAAGCGAGAGGAAGCGACGGCGAGAGAAGTGGATTTGCGCGGAGAGTACTTGTGAGGTGTGGTTCGCGGGAAAGGATGCCTTTGGTCTGCTTCGTCGTCGTGGTCAGCGGAGCCGTCATTGTCGCCGGCGCGGTCGATAGCCAGGCGGGACTCGGAGCGAATCTGCGTGACATCGCGCAGGTGCATGTCGCTTCGACGCGATCTCCTCTCGCCGGGCGAGTTGGCAGGGTCGGCACGCGCAGACAGGGAGGAGGAGGCGCGAGGGACGTATGGAGACGTGCTGGACTGCCTGGACGACGAGCGGATTCTGTCGTGTGTGTCGTCCAAGGCGGGTCCGTTGGAGACATCGAGGCGTGCAGAAGACATGGCGTCCGAATCGTTCGTCATTGTGGGACGAAAGCGTGTCTCGTGAGATCGGAATGTGCTGCCGCCAGGCTGCTGCGGACTGGTGGCAGCCAGGGTGGCGCTCCCGTCGGTGTTGGTGGTGGTGGTGTAGGAGGAAGCGACAGAGGGGGAGCGCGACTCAGCAGAAGGAAGGCGGGTGTGATGCGGCTGCAGGTGCTGTGACGAGACGGATCTGCGGCTGGACGGTACCTCAACGCGGAGCAGCGCGTCGTTCGAGTCTTTGCGGGCGCGTCCGTCGCTTCCGCTCAGACTGCCCGTCCTTTCGCTGTGCGGTGGTGTGGGAATGTCGCAAAGCCTTGGTTCGGGCCTGCCGACCGACTGCGTAGAGTATTGATCCGATCGGAAGCGGATTGCGTCGAAGTTGGAGCTAGTGCCAGCGGGCTGCATCGATCAGAGCTGCACGAGTCTCCGATTTTAAGCTTCACCTCGCCGAGCTTGTTCGAAAGCTAGACCGAGGAGTATCCGATCAACCAGAGTCGACACAGCCACGGCCTATGCGGGACGAGAAAACTCCGTTGAGCGGACGCAGCTGGCAGGTCACCAACTTGCGCAAGGCGATAAACGACGACGGCGGCGGCCAGCGATGCGTCGGGTGGACCGATGGTGGAGTGACAACGCATCTGCTGGCCTGCGGATGGTGTTGGAGTGCATATTTTCATGGAGAGGTCTCCGACTTCCGCGCCCCCTTTCCTCTCGCGTCTCGGCTGGACCCTCTCTCGCCTCGGGGCGCGAATGAATTTACCGGCAGAGCCGATACCGCTTCTACCCCTCGCTTGCATCCGATGTCCGCTTTCGTTCCCTTTCCCTCCGACCGCTGACGGCGTCCCACACTATGTTTAATAAACGAAAACGAAAAGGCTGCCGACGAGTGCGGCTACGGCCCCGTGACCCTACGACTAACTTACGCCTTCCTTCCGCGTGCACGAGCCTCTCTCGCCTCGCCTCGCAGCCTCATGCAGGAGGATGAAGTCGGCGCTGGGCAGTTCGCGCGACGCGTTGAATTTCCAGGGTTGCGACTCGATGTCACACAACCTAACAAGGTCAAAAATTGCAGAGAGCGCTGCGATTGTGACACACACATGTGGAGAAGGCGCAGCAGCATGGACCCTGGATCCCAGAGCTGAGTGTAGCTGGGGCGCACGGAGCGACTCGCCGTTCCTCGAGACGGCCGATTTGCAGCACGACACACCCTATCTCGGGCCTCCTCCAGCCCTAAGATCCTAAGATCACATCGACGTCGCCTCACCCCTTCAGCAGCTTTGCGAACGGCGCTGCAGCTCCTTTCTCGTCCATCCGTCTCTCAAAGGGGGAGACATGGAAGAGCCTGCTTCGCATCGCCACACCACACCGAGCATGTGCCACAGCCGGTGAACGCACAAGCTCTGGGCCTCTCGTCGTTGCTCGACATGGCATCGTACTTTCTGCCTTCCTTTCTCACCGGCTGGGAGCTGCCCTCCGTCTCAGCCTTCTCTCTCTCGGCCAATCTGCAAAAGAGGATCCTTTCGTATCTCCTCAAGAGGACGCTTGGTCACTTTGTCGATGGAGGCCAGCTCGACCCAACTCAGCTCGACGCAGGTATTGGAAGCGGCAGGATCGAGATCCGCGACATCGAACTCGATGCAGCTGCACTGAACCAGCGCCTTGCTCACCTTCCGGTCTCCGCCGCATCCGGCCGCATCGCAAAGATCCTCATCCAGCTTCCCGTGCCCAATTTCTGGAGCGGCGAGCTTTCTGTGCTAGTCTCCGGCATCTCCATACGTCTGGAGCCCTCGCTTTTCGAAGCGCCGTCCTCAGATTCCTTCGCGGACGGCCTTGCTGCCTCCTTTGCCAGTGCGGCCAGCGAGATACTCTTTGAAGATGCAGAGGCAAAGGATCTCGAAGAGTCCATCCATCAATCCATCTCTGCCGACACGCCAGCCGATGCCCATAAGGCCGACGACGACCAACCGGGGACTTTGATCGCGTCATACATCGAGGCTCTACTCACACGACTCAAGATCACTGTCAATGATGTCGACGTTGCGCTAGCTTCTGACGATGTCGAACTTTCAATTCGTCTCCAGAGCGCAAACGTGCATAGCTCCAACACCCGCAGCGAACGAACCCCAGAAGAGCCGCTCAACGTCGAGGCAGAACAGTCAGATGTCTCTAGCTCATCAACAACATCCCTACCAAGTCTCTTCAGCGAAACCGCGAGGACGCTTGAGTTCCACGGCCTCGAAGTGTGGCTCCAAGATCGTCGCAACGATGGCACCGGCGACGAACGGGATTCTTCATCTTCCTCAGACACATCGCCTGAGGATGATTCTCAAGGGGAGGGGCGCTTGCCGACCATGGACATGGACCAATCCATAGCATCCCTTCAAGAATCATCTGCCAGCCTATACCAGAGCGCCATCCAAGAAGACACCACGCCAGCCGGTATCGCGGACCACGCAGACAGCAAGCGTTCGGATCTGGGTGACAGCACTGAGCCTCGACATCAGATAAACCCCACGCATCGGTTATTCAGCATGGGCCAAGAGCCTGTCATCGTGACCTTAAAGACTATCAAAGAGCGGCGACAAATCCAGGACGCGGGCGCCTCGACCCGCCGCACGATTCAGCGCCTCGTTCGAACCACTACCAGCGTGGACGTGCAGATCGGCAACGTTGCCTCAATCCTATTCATCGAGCATGTAGGGCTTCTGATGATTCTCATGCGACGTCTTGCGCGCAGGTATGAACAAAGTAACGATCTGCCAGCCTCTGCAACAGATCAGGTCAAACCCTCGCGACTATCTTCACGCGCATCGTCCGGCCGAAGCATAGACTTCAGCTGTCGTATCAGCAGTTTGAACATCATACTGGGGTACGACGACGCGATCAAGGCAAACGGCGTCACGGGTTCCATTGACGCTTTCTGGGCGCGGCCCTCCCGTTCACACCCTGACTTCGGACACCTTCGCCTGCGATGCGACGGTTTGGCCGTCACATTCAAAGGTGACGTCGGCAGCCCCGCCCTTCCTTCCAAGCCACCAAGCGTCAATGTCACCGTCGATGATATTGGTGTGTTCGAGCACTTGTCCAGCAGCCTCTTCCAGCATGCACCCCCCGAAGCATCGCGCGTCCTTCCTATCCTCCTACTGGATCCGAACCTCGTTCGCGCGAGCGACTGGGATACGGCTGCCGGCAAGCATCCTCGCCATGATTACGCAAGAAGCACAGTTGAGGTCTTCGACTGGCGTTACAGCGTTCCGCAGGCGACAGCATACCAAGCTGTTTCAAGCTCATCTCAAGACTCTCCCCGTGCCACGCGCTTTCGTGCCTCCGAGCCGCGATCCGCCTCGTCCCAGGCGGGGCAGACTCCTTACTACCGGGCGTCCTACGGGGAGCGTGGATGGAAATTGAAACCTCCGTCCAAGTCCACCAACACCTCGCCGGGCCCTGCTACGGACCCTGCGCAGCCGTACATCAGAGTCTCTGTCACGCCAGGATCAGCGCAAGGTGGACGGGGTAATGTCGTCGCATATCTGGCTCCCGTGCATTGCTTCGTCGATGTGTCTCTAGTGACACGACTATTGCCGGCGTTGCACAAATTCGCCGGTGCCCAGATTGCTGCTATGCAAGCAGAAGCCAGACCAAGCCGCTTTATGGATGGGTCGATCGCCACACTGGCATCCAGTATCGCCACACTCCAACCTTCGGGATCGGAGCTCCTCGACGACATGACTACCCAGTCGAACACTGTGCAGCAGGACGGATACGATCTCGATGTCAAGGTCAGCTTCGTGCGCACAGAGATCAGGACACCGCAAGTATCCTACAGTGCTGCCGCTCTCGCTGGGCGGGACCTGCGTAGCGCGAGGCAATTCGGGCTCGACAAGCGAGCCGGTGTTCTGGTGGTTCAGGTACAGGATCTGGAAGTCCGTTCTGGACCATCTCTGGAGGACAAGCCACGCCAGAACGTCCGATTTGCTCATCAACAGACTCGGGCGCGTCCGTCGGACAGCGATGCGGTCGTGACCGGCTGCATCCGCGCCAAAAAGGTCTCAGCTTTCCTCGGCCTACCTGCTGATGCACGTGCGCTGGTACTAGTCTCGATGGATGCGCTCGATGCAGACAAGGGCACGAATGGCCCCTTTGCCGATCCCGATGCGGGATCGCTTCCGCAAGTCCAATTCTCGCGCATCTCGATAGGACGGCCTCCCGCAGTGGGCGCATTGCCAAGCGACGAAGCACAGAATCGCTGCAAGGTCATTCTCCCTTGTGTCAAAGTCGAGCTCGGCAAGCGACAGCTCGATTCGCTTCAGTACATTGCAGATGACCTCACCCAGTTGGGGAATATTTGGGGCACTGACGATCCGGACGACAATTCTGCGGATGCTGAAGGACTCAAAATCCTCGGCAGTCGCTTCTTTGGCAGCCGAGCCGGCATGTCGATCATTTCTGCCAGCACCGACTCGACGGCAACGGCCACTGCCAGAGCCAGCAGCACCATTTCGTTGCTTCACGCCACCATCATCCGCGCTTCAATCCGCATCTGGCTTCCGCACCTGGATGGTGGCGAGGAGACGCTCGGAACAGGAGCAGGCATTACGTCCAAGAGCCTCCTTTTATTAGCCTCGGACTTTGAGGTTCTACTCAATAGCGACAAAGTACGAAACACTACGCGCATCGAAGCTCGCGTTCCCGAGATGCAGCTCAGCGTAGAGGCGAGGATCTCGGCCGACCAGACCTCGAGCTCAGTGCTGGCAGCTCGTACAGTGGAAAGAGATCTCGACTCACGCGGCCACGACAGCATGCTGGTGCTCGTCCTCGAAGCGTACACCGAGCCCGGCACCAGCTATCGAGAACAGAACGTCGAGGTCGTGATTGGCGCGGTCAAACTGTCGCCCTGCTTCGACCAGGACCTCGTTCCCAGGGTGAAGCGGCTGTTGAAAGCTCCAGCAGGCGTGTTCGAAAATGTCGAGCCAAATGAAGTGACGCGCATCAGCTTCAAGGCCAAGGACTGCTCTGTATACGTGGCTCCTCCGGACACAGCGCAGCGCGCCGTGCTGTCGATCGACGAAGCGTCGGTCAAGACCAAGCTCACATCGCACGCGCCCAAGACTTCCATCAAGCTGGCCGTAGCCAACGTGGACTTTTGGGCAATCGAGTCCGAAGCAAGTCTTGCTCCAAAGAGCTCGTCAGTACCACAAAGAGCATCCCAGTATTGGGTCCACCGAGGTTTCGCTCGAATCCTGCACGTTCCAGAGTCAAAGGGCAGCATCCATCTTACATCTATGACTCGGCCGGAGGTGGACGTGAGGATCACCAAGCTTCGCGTCAAGGTGCAGATGGCGGCCGATACTCTGGAGGTCATCACGGGCATCTCTGGCTCGATCTCGTCCCTGTCGACGCCCTCGTCTCCCCAAGCCAACACAAAAGCACGTTCCAGAGCTTCACCGAAGTCACACGACGTCGAAGACGAGCAGCTTCACGCAGGGTCATCAGCGTCCAGTCCAATGACGCCATCCGACGGCCATTTCGCTAAGATGGCTGAATTGATGTCGGGAATCGAGGACGATGCTTATCGTCATGCGGTGCCTCTGCCTGTATCCGTGGACCTCGTGGACGACGACGTGCCGTCCGACGCCACTTTCCTCGGGGCCAAAGGACGGTACCATCCTGAAATCGTCGAGACGACGCTCGACGCCGACGAGTTCTTCGGTGGAGAATCCGTCGCTTCGTTGTCGCTGGCTGCGCCTCGGACGGACACCGTCATCTATGCGGATGACGATGTCACCGTGCGTCTTCTAGACCCGAATGGTATTCGCCCGGTGCTTGGGTATTTCACAGACTCTCAATTGCGCCCGCAGGTAGAGTCTGCGCTAGGCCCAGCCGCAAGCTCGGTTCGCGTTCGCGTGAGCGACTTCGATCTGTCGTTGCGCTTACACTCCGGTTACGACTGGGCAACGACTCGCCAGGCGGTAGAAAGCGAGGCCAAGTCGGTCAGAAGGCGGCTGCAGAAGATCAAGCAGCTGTTGGCTGACGGGCAGGTTCCGGACGACAGCGTCGAGGCGGCGACGAGCAACCTTCTCGACTCAGTCCACATTAGCCTACCGCAGCTTCCTTCGCAGATGGCACCTGACGAGATGATGCAAGCTGTTCGAGACGAGCTGGGCGACCACTCCGACTCTGACGACGATGACTCGGCCTCTTGGCAAACGCTGCCGGCTCCTCGATCTGGACAGTCATCGTTGCGACCGTCTGCTCGACCAACGACAGCTACGCCAGGCTCGGGTCGGCATGCCAAGTTGCAGCGCTCAGCACGCTCGCTGATCGACTTCAATTTCCGCGGCCTCGAGGTAGAATTCGACCAAGCCGATCCGTCACAGCCGAGCCACATTGCCTCGCGCATCGCCGTCGCCGCGCGCCGCTTCGAGATCATCGACAACATCCGCACCTCGACGTGGCAAACGTTCCTCACCGAGATGCGCGACCAGAATTCGGCCATGCACCGTGATGCTGCGGGTAAGATGGTCCGGGTGGAATTGCTGAATGTGCGCCCGCAAGGAGGGGCAAGTGCGGATGGTAGTGCGTTTGAAACGCCGGAGGTCCGAATGCGCGCCAAGATCGCCCCTCTCCGTCTTCACGTCGACCAGGACGCACTCGACTTTTTGAAGAAATTCTTCACCTTCAAGCCGCCCGGACGCAAGACGGTGCCTGTCGAAGCGCCCGCCGGAACGGTGCTGCCGTTCATCCAATTCGCCGAGGTGTTGCCGATCAAGATCAAGCTGGACTACAAGCCGAAGCGGGTGGATTACAACCTGCTGCGGCAGGGCAAGACGATCGAGATGATGAACTTCTTCCACTTTGAAGGCTCAGAGATGGTGCTGCGTCACATCACCTTGCGAGGGATCAGTGGATGGCCGAGGCTGTTTGATTCACTCAACGACATATGGACGCCGGATGTCAAGGCGAATCAGCTCGCAGACTTTTTGTCGGGCCTGGGTCCGATCAGGAGTCTGGTCAATGTCGGAGCCGGGCTGGCGGATCTGGTGCTGCTACCGATCGAGCAGTACCATAAGGACGGAAGGGTGTTGAGGGGCGTTCAAAGGGGTGCGACGAGCTTTGCCAAGAGCACTGCGCTTGAGGCGGTCAAGTTGGGCGCCAGGCTGGCGACGGGGACGCAGGTGATTCTGGAGCAGGCCGAGCATATCCTGGGCGGGGAACTGCCAGAGACGGTCACGGCTCGGGCGGTAGGGCCGGAGGGGGAGAAGCAGAGCTACGAATCGCTCAGCGAAAGCATCATGCTCGGATCCACTGCGGACGTGGCGGCTTCTTGGATAGGCCAAGCAGGCGATCGCGGCGATGGCGAGGTTCCGGCACTCAGCAAGTACGCCATGCAGCCCGAAGGGATGCGCGATGCGCTCACGCAGGCGTACAGCGGTCTCACCGAGGGACTCACCGCAGCAGCCCAAACCATCCTCGCCATCCCCATGGACGTGTACGAACCCGAGACGTCCGACCGATCCGGGCCTTCGTCCGGCGCGACAGGAAGACCCATAGTCAAGGCAGTGCCCATCGCCATCCTGCGCGGCGCAAGGGGCGCCACCCACGCCATCGCAAAGACCATGCAGGGCGCCCAGGTCTCGCTCGGCGATTCGGAAAACGCGCGCGAGCGAAAGTACAAGCTCCCCACCCAACGAACCGCTGCCCGCCGCCAAGGCTAGGATCAGTTTCTGCTCCCGCTCAATCATTCCGATTTCAAGTTCACGCTTTTCGAGTTAGTCAAACAAAACAGCATGGAATTCCCTTGAATGTAACTCGCAGTGCCCGATGATGCGGTCTTTCTACATGAATGTCGCCGTCGCGCTCAGTTCTTGGCCTTGGAGACGTAGCTCGAGACGAGGAAGCTGATGGCGTTTTCGGCGGCCTTGACGCCCTGGGCGAATTGGGCGTTGTACGCGGCGCGGTCGGACGTCTTGAAGCGGCCGGCGTCCAGGTAGGCCTTGAACGTGTCCTGCTGATATTGGGTGGCGAAGCCGAGGCGCGAAAGCGAGTCGGTCGACGCAGCCAGGATGCGCGAGGTGTAGAAGCCGTCCGAGAAGCCGCGGTCAGAGACGGTCGCGTTGGTGGCGGCACGGCGCTCCTGCTGCACAACGCGGGCGGCGCGCGAGGCGAACCCGCCGACTCCGCGGGCAGCTACAGCACCCTTGGTGGCGTCGGCAGCTGCGGGCGTGAAGAGCGAGTTTCCGAAACCGTTGGGGCCGACCAGTGTAAACGGGTCCTCGTCCTCCTCACCGGCGACGACGAGGAAAGACTTGCCTGCGGTGGCCGAGGTGCCGTTGGTGGGGAGGCGGACGCGGCTGATGTCGGTGCGCAGCGAGGCAAGCGGCGAGAGCTTGTCGCCCGTGGCGTTGGCAATACCGGCGAGGGAAAGCTTCGACATTGGAATGCCCCACGACGAAAAGTTGCCCGACAGGAACTTGTTGGCCGCGCTCTGGAAGCACCAACCCGAATTCTGGTCGCAGTTCTCCATCTTGTACGACCAGAAGGTCCAGCCCGCACCGGTGGTCTGCCAGATATCCTGCTGAGTCTGGCAGAACTCGGTCTGGTCCCTGTCCGGGTTCTGACTGCCCTGGATCGAGCTCCACGCCAGCGCGCACGACCACTCGCCGACGATGAGGTTGCGACGCGCCACAGCGGACTGCTGGACGAACTGGTTCATGATGGAACCGTCGAGCTTCGAGATATGACCCTGTGCTGACAGTGCTTGGTCCTGCGGAGTGTAGACGTAGTAGGCGTGGTGGTCCGAGACGACGAAGTCAGATCGCTTCTGGACAAAAGCGGCGCCCTTTTCGAGGACGAAGGCGTCGTGGAAGTAGAGCGGAATGGTCTTTGCATACGGCGAGACTGCTCGCATGGCGTCCATGGCGGTGGGCAGCCAGGTCCAGTAGCTGTCGCGGTTCTGGGGCTCGTTGAGCAGCTGGATGCCGATGACGTTGGTCACGTCCGAGATCTCGTTGGCGATCCAGACGAGAATCTCGGTGGTGAGGTTCTGATTCCACGAGTTGTACCACTGGATGTTGCCGTCGTTGAGACCCGAGTGGGCCTGGCCGTTTTGCGAGCCGTACGCGCCGTGCAGGTCGACGATGACGCCAATGTCGTACTTGGCGGCCCAGTTGATGGCACGTGCGACGTAGCGCCAGCTGTACTCGTAGACCGAGCTGTACTGCTCAAAGGGACTGTAGTGGGTAAAGTAGGGTCCTACAGACCAGTAGCCGATGGGAAGGCGCACCGTGTTGATACCCATCTGGGCGAGCTTCCTGAAGTCGTCCTCCGTGATCCAGGTATCCCAGTGCTGCTCCATGTAGGCGCGGGCGGAAGAGAGACCATCTCGCGAGGTGCCGAAGCCGTCGAGGATATCGAACTCGGCCTGTTTGGTGCCCGTGGCACACGACATGAAGCCGCCCTCCATCCAGCCTTCCTGTACGAACCACGAGCCGAGGTTGACGCCCTGCTGCTGGCGGTATCGCATGATGGTCGCCTTTACCGGGTCAAAGTCGGGAAAGACGGGGGGTGGGAGCTTGTCCCAGCCACCGTTAGGCGTGTATCCGGCGGAGTAGGGGCAGTTACCAGGACCGACCGAGCGGGACGAGGCGAGCTTGCGACCATCTGCGCTCGTGGTCTGGTTGGCAGCATCGACAGGAATGAAGAGGGTTGAGGGGACACCCCAGTCGGAAGTCTTGTGCGTTGCGGACCAGTCGGTGGTGGAGCCGGTCTTCTGGACTTGGAACGAGTTACCCTTGCTGTTAAGCGCATTGCGACCCTGACCGGAGCTGGCGATGGAGGTGCTCTGGTTGGCGGTGGGGAGCTGCGGGATGGGCTTGTAGTTTGCAGCCGCCAGAGAGAGGGCACTGGCGACCGTGTTGAGGCTTGTGTCGCGTGGAAGGAGTCTCATGATCGAAAAGCTCTGTCGGGTTACGGGAAAGGTAAAAGAAAGAGTGTCGGGCAAGACGATGAACCTGAAGCCAGTTCAGATGCAAGGTCTTGGGAAAGAGAGTCTACTGCGTCGGAAGAGGAAAAGAAAGGACAGAAGGGACGCAACAGCGAGGACCGGCCTCGGAAAGACGACAAAGGAGCAAAGAGAGTGAAGCGGATGGTGGTGCAAGGACAGGGGGAACGGAAAGGACGCAGGGCGAGCGTTCGTCTGCTTTTAAAGGAGCCCGAGAGGAAGGCGCCAACTAAGCGAGAGCGGACACCCGGACCAAGAAGGGAAAGAAGGCTGAGTCGGCCCCTCTCGCCTCGCCTCAAGGAACCGACAGCAAACGAGACGGAAGAGGGCTGCCAAGAGGCGATGCATTCAACTTCTCCTGAAACCGTCATTGCAGCGAGCAACTGCCCTCCATCGGCTAAGCCGAGCGTGGCGCAATCCCGTCGACACGCCAAGCGCCAAGGCGGGCATGGCCATGCAGCTCAGCCAATGCCTAAGCAGATTTAAGGTCGAGACTGGTGTTGAGCATGCTTTGGACTTGTGAGCAACACAGTAGCTCGCCGTGACGATGCAGAGGGCGGATGCACGAGGAGGGACAGGCGTTCAACATCCAAGCTTGAAGGGGCGGCAGCTGACAAGGGCTTGGCTTTCAGCGCCCAGAGGCCTACGTTTCTGAGACACATGGTGGACGTTCCACTCGTCTGACGTGTGACAGTCAGAAGAGTGACGCTGCTGCGTCAACGGTGAACGACGCCAATGGTCTTGGCCGCCGAGCTGATCATGCGGAGTTGGGCAGAAGTTGACATGTCGCGCCCCTCCGTCAAAAGTGTCGCGAAGAATTCAGGCTCGGCTTTCCCGATTCCTTCACAGCCCCGATTTCCGAGTGTTGGTCTCAGCGCGCGCGTCGCTTCCCCCGAAAGCAAGCTAAAGCAAGGTGGCCTTTCGGTATGCCCACGCCACACACAGAGGGAGTGCGCCACCAAGCCTATCCTGTGATTCGCGGAAGGCAAGTCCCGGGTCGAGCCGCAATTTGGTTGCTCGCTGGGAGCGGCTTTGTGTGCCTGGGTCTGGCCCCTTTGTGACGTTTTGGGCGTGGGAAGCGACACGCACGCACGCACGCACACACGCCCGCCCGCATGATGACCAAAAATATGCCCCGGTCTGCTGCCCGAAATCACCGGTCGGCTTTCCTATTGCCTTTCGTTCGGCACGCTTCTTTCCGCCTCGTTAACGCTTGGGCCTGCGATGAGTCGCGAGACAGCCGAGGACCTTCTCCACACGGCCCACTCGAGGCGGCTAGGGCGCTATCGGACCCTGAATCATCATGCGGATCAAAAGGGCCTTCCGTTTCGGCTTAGCTTGCAGACCTCCACGCTAGCACGTGTCTTGCTCTTACACCTCGAACGTCCCTCGCCTCTCGAAAGTCTTCCGATCGATCTCTCCGCTGGTCTCGCCGAGCTCGCCTGTTCTGCCTTTCCAGCATGGCTTCCGCGCTCTCCGGAGCCATCTCTGTGCTCATCCTTGGCGGCACCACCCATCTGTCGCGCCCGCTACTCAAGTGGCTTCTTGACCCCGCTCAAGATGCTGCCAGGTCCAACGTCGAGATCAAGCATATCCGGCTCGGCGACAAGTTCCTAGCCTCCAACGGCACCAGCACCACCTACATCGAGCCAGACACTTGGGAGGCACTCAAGGATCCGCGCGTTGAGTATCGCCAAGTCAACCTCAACCTGGCTCCCAACCTTCCCAAGGTGTATGACCATCCCGACGGCGGCTCGTACGATGTCGTCTTTGACTTTACCGGTGAGGGCGTTGGGCAGCCCGATGTGCCCGAGGAGCTGCTGATCGAGCGCACCGCCAAGCTCGCCCACTCGATCGCAGCCGAGTCGCTGCGCAGGAATGTCAAGGCGCACATCCGCGACACGGTCGCCTTTCTCACCATCGATCCGAGCTCGCCGCCTGCTACCGAGGCCGATATTGTCAAGCCGAAGACGCCACGCGCCTACTGGTGGTATGAAGCCGAACGCGCCGCCGCCAGCGTGCCTGGCCTGCCACTCGCCATCACGCGCTCCGCCGAAGTCGTGGGTCCGTACGTCTTTCATGCCTCCATACCGTCTCGATACGCACTTGGCAGAGTGTACGCGCATCTCAACGAGACGTACAAGCTGCTCTGGGGTCCGGATCTGCGTGTGCACACGATCCACGTCGACGACTGGTGTCCGGCAGCGTGGAAGCTGGTCGAGTTCATCTCGTCGCGTTCGCGCGCCGAGGCAGATCAGCAGGCGGGCGAGTTGCTTCCGCCCGTGCGGATGAAGGACAAGCTGCAGGACTCGTTGCGCGAAAAGGTGGGCGAAGAGTGCTGTTTACGTACGCTCACGCCGCGCGCGCCCGTGTTCAATCTGGTCGACGACACCGATCTGACGCAAGGCAAGCTGCTGCGCATGATCGGCGAAGCGTTCAACATCCAGACGGGCTTTACGAACGCCGTGATCAATGCGTGGGCGCGCGTGGACCTGGCCAGCATCGTGGACGATATCAACGAAAAGCACGCCAACGCCATAGCCGAGATCGTGCAGCAGACGGGCATCGAAGATGTGGCACTCAAGGGGTGGGTGGATACCGAGATGCTGGCGAATCGTTCGCTCGCGCTGAGCAACGCAAAGGTCAAGAGGGTGCTCCAATGGCAACCTAAAGTGCAAGTCAACCGACAAAGGCTCGAAGAGATTTTGGATAGGATCAGAGAGCTGAATCAGTTCCCCAAGTGATCCCGTCCGCACATTGTCATTCGCATTTCGTCGTGTCGCAAACAAAAGCATTGCATACGTTCTTGTCGGTGTGTGTGCAAGCTGAAGGGTATACTTGTGTGGACGTAGTGGGCGTTATTTGCCAAGATCCCATTCGCGCACTTTGGGCGGTGGCGGTGCTGATGGTGGAGAGGCAGACCGCTTGCGTGGGCGCGACTTGTGCTCCGACTTGCGGTCGCTCGAGCGCCGGATGGTGTGGCTGCGTTTGCGGTGACGCCGTTCGTCGTCGGAAGCGCCTTCGTGTGGACGCGAGTGGCCGCTCCTGGATCGCTCCGATCGCTCCGATCGTTCGGATCGGCTGGACCGATGGGAGCGGTGAGAGCTGCTGCGGCGTCCGTCTCGCTCTGGGCTGCGCTCTGTGTCGTGTCTTCGCTTGCGGCTACTCGAGTGCTTGTCGTCTTCTGCTCCCGACCGTCGCTGACTCTGCCTTGACTCCGAGTCCGAACAGGCCTCTTCAAAGTGCTTGTCCATCTTGCTCGACATTCCTTCCCCGCTCCTCTCTGAATGCACATCCGATCTACCATACCGAGCTTTCTCTTCGGTATTGCGTTCGTCATCTGACCAGCCTCGCATCTTTGACGATCCAGCGCTTTCCGCACGGCTGGACGAGGCAGACCGGTGCTCGGATCGCTGCTGCTGGCGTCTGAGCGCGCTGTTGTGGCCCTCGACATTTCGAATGACTCTTGCAAGGAAGCGTTTGTTCGTGTTTGGCACGCGTGCTGCCTCTGTATCGCCCGGCTCGAGGTACGAGGCGACACCGCGCTCGTCCGCGTGCGCTTGCTTGGTGCGCGCCTTTTTCACGATCAGCTCGGCGATGTAGGCGTCCAGGTCCTCGGATGGGACCGAGGCAAGCTCCGACGCAGCCTTCGATCCCATTGGCTAAAGCACGAATGTCGTCGTGTGCCTCGGGAGCATCGTCGTCCGCACGAAAGTGTTGTACCAGAAGGAGCTGAGGATGAAAGTGCTGATTTTTTCGGGACCCGGAGGTCGGGGCGGATGTGGAGGACTCGACGGATTTTCGTGGACCCTTGCCGTGTGGTCCTTCTTCTCATGCACCTTTCCGCAACTCACTCGCAACGATGACGAGCGGGCAAGGCGAAGATGGCGCCGTGCTGATCCTCAACGGTCTACCAGCGCGGACTCAGCTCGTGCTGGATGCGCACCCGCAGGCGTACGTGATCAACGACCAGTTCGCGGGGATCAAATCGCTCGCCCCGGGCTGGCACTGCATATCTTGGTCGCTCGACTCCGAAGCTGGCAACGAAGCGAATGCCGGAGGCCCGTCTGTGGAAGGATCGATCCGCAACGTAGCACTGCGCTACTTCGAGTCGCAGGAGATCGCGATTCGCGATCTCGACCGTATCCATCAGCGGCTGGTGGTTCCGAATCCTGATGCGGCTAGCAGCACAGCAAGATACAGGGCGATGCGGGTTAGCAGATCGTGCAACGCAGGGACTAGTCAGCAGCTTCAAGCGGTAGTTTCGCAGGGATTTCTCGCGAGCGTCCAGTCGCGGCTACTACCGGCGCCGGAAGAGGCGCAGCAGCGATGGCGTAAAGCAACGCAACACCTTGGATGTGCCGGCGGCGCAATCGGTCGCAAAGTCGTGGCGCGGGTGGTTGGCATTGATCTGGAAAGCGGCGATGCGAGTACGGATAGCCTGGCGTCTGGACCACGCAGATCCAACGATCCAAAAGAAGAAGAGGGATTCCAACGAACCGGCAATGTCGGCCGGAACGAGAACGGCATAACGATTTGGGGCAAATCGCAGCCTGCTCACAGCCATGTTGAAGTGGAGAGTGACGGCGAGGGATCAGCCGAGGAAGCGACCGAAAGGACAATAGGAGCGGAGAATCGAAAGCGAAAACGCACCGAGAATCATGCCACGGAAGGAGCCGAAGAGTCCGACGATGGAGTGCTGCTATTCACCGAGTTTGACCTGCGGCGAAGCTGGCCACCAAACGCGGTTGGCGCAGAACTAACGCGCTGGAGTCAGGACAAGAGCTGGCTGCTGCGCGACGTAGCCGCACGGGCTCGTCGAGGCATTGCATCGGATGAGAACAGGCAGTCAGGGTGGTACCTGCCGCTCCTATGCGAGATGGAGCTGGCATTCGTGCTGTTCGTCATGGCGAGCAACGTGCATGCGTGGGACGAGTGGAAAGACCTACTCTCACTCTTCTGCCGCGCAGCATCGATCATTGGCTCTCAGTCAGCGTTTCACCTCCATCCTGCTTCCATCGATGCCTCTTCAGCTCAGCTCATGGATGTCGACGTGGAGCAGGTCAGGGTCGACGCGCACGTGGCGTTTCTCGACACGCTCGCTGCCCAGCTAGACCTGCTTGACGGGGAATTCTGGTCGAGCCAGTCCACGACAAAGGAAGAACAAGCGGCTCTCAAGGAGCTGGATGTGCTGCGAGCGAACATCGCAAGGTCTCTTGCGCTGGCTGGCACGGTTGAGGCTGGAGGAGGGGACGAAGAGGGGAGGGCGAGGTTGGTCGCGGCCTGGAGGAAAGTGTCACATTTGGCGGCGAGCAAGTTTGGATGGCAGCTCGACCGCAGGCTGGACGAAGAGGCCGAGATCGAGGACGATATCGAGGCGGAAGAAGGCGAAGATGCGCCAGTGATTGTAGACACGTAGCCTCCCGCACAATCACGAATCTTCATCACGGATGCTCGAGAGTGTTGATGTGAGTCGGGCGCCCAAGCGAAAATGTTTGAACGACGATGTAACAAATTCAAATAATCAAGCCGCCTCGCTGGAAGAAGCAAGAGTGGACGCAAATGTTTACCGCTGCAGCGGGAGAGCAGCGGGTTGGCGTGTGCGCATCGCCGCGAAAGCGCGGGGCGGCAGGGAGGAGCGCAGAGGACAGCGCAGGAGGAGGATGAGCTGGCGAAGTCGCGCTCTGACGTGTTGGTCTCGACTCGCCTGACCGTGCACCATCATCGCGACCGTTCGTGCGTCGTCCCACCCTCCCGACCACAGCAACATCGTCAGCATACCATAGACGTGCTTGACCTTTCCACCTGCCATTCAGTATGGCGCTTCCACCGTCGTCGGCCAGCAGCGCCGCCGCATCGCGCGCGCACACACCCGTCGGCCATCGTCGCTCCACGCACCTCGCCGTCGGTCTACCTGCGCAGAACAACGACGCACAAGCTGGAGCACGGACGCCTGATCGCCATGACGGCGCAGGGCTTCAGGCTCACAAGCTGCACCTTGTGCTCTCCGAAATCACCTCCGTCACCTCGACCGTGCGCAAGGCAACCAGATGGAACGCAACCACCTCAGCCGCGCTCACTCGCATCACCTCGTACAGCTACTCGGCCGCACAGACCCCACAAGCACCCTCGCAGCCGCGACCGCAGCAGAGTACGGTCGGCGATTCGCAACAAGCACCGGGAGCCGATGGTGCGTCCGCTGGAACGAGCTCAAGCGCACGAATTGCGCTGCGCGGAATGCAGCGCGGTGCCACCGTCGACGCTGCCTCGTCCTCATCTGCGGCAGCTCGGAGGCTAGGTCTGACCCTCGGCGTCGACGGCAAGTCTGACGATCCCGTCAGCCTCCTCACCGCCTTCGCCACGCTCAAGGCCCAGCTGCGAGCCTGCCGCGACTTTGCCGCTTTCCCGCTTCCCACGCTGCTCGCGCCCTTCCTGCGCCTCATCCTCAGTCCGCGCACCTCGGCCCACGTCACATCGGCTGCGCTCCAGGCCGTGCACAAGTTCCTCGTCTACGGCGTCGTCTCCCTCGATGCGCCCGACGCACAGATCGCCGTCGCCGAGATCGCGCACGCTACCAGCCACTGCCGCTTCGAAGCCTCGGAAGCCACGACGGATGAACTCGTGCTTGTCCGCATCCTGTCTGTCATGCGCGAACTGATCTGCGAGCCGACCCAGGCCCCCGCCGCAGCAACTCCCACAGAGGCGCAGCGCAGGCATCCCACAACGCTCGCCGACTGCCTCGGCGACGACAGCATCTGCGAGATGATGGAGACAGGCCTCTCCATGTGCTGCCAGACCAGGCTGTCCGAAGTGCTGCGCAGGACCGCCGAGCTCTCCATGACGGCCATGGTGCGCACGCTCTTCAGCCGTCTGCCCGTTTTGCCGCACTCGGCAGACGAGTTTTTCGTCTCGCGATCCGACGGAAAGGAGCCCGAACCCGAACATGCCACCTTGGCCGCAGAGCCGGTGGGTGAGGACGCCGAGCAGGACGAGAAGAAGCGCCGCCGCATGACCATGCCAGACCCCACCAGCAATGCCTTTCCTGCTGCCGCCAAGCAGGTGCTCGACCAGCTCCGCGAGATGGGCGAGGAAGAAGACGCGGAACAGACACAAGAACAGCCTCAGGAGCAGGCACAGGAGCCAGCACCAGAGGGTGAATCGAACGCTCCCGCAAATCCGCAAAATGCGGACGAGACGGGATCGCAGCCTGCACAGGATGCTTCTGCCATTCCGGCTCAAGCCGAACAAAGTGCCACCGTCGAGCCGACACCCGCAGAGGCAGCGCCAGCCGAGCCGATCCACATTGAGCCGTTCGGACTTCCGGCGATCCTCGAAGTATGCCGTGTCATCGTCTCGCTGCTCGACCCGAATAACCTGCAGCACACCAACACCATGCGTCGACTCGGCATGTCGATGCTCATCTCGGTGCTGGAGACTGCCGGTCGCTCGATCGGCGAGTTTCCCTCGCTGCGCGCGCTCATGCAGGACACTGCATGCAAGTACCTCTTCACGCTCGCACGCAGCGAGGACACCATCCCGCTCTCGCTCAGCCTTCGCGCGCTCTCGACCATGTTCGAGACCATGCGCGAGCATCTCAAGCTGCAGCACGAGTACTTCCTCAACTACCTCATGGACAGGCTCGCGCCCACCTTTCCGCTCGCGCTCGAGCCGTGGAACGAGCGCTCGTTCGACAGCGTCGCCCGCCGTGCGCTTGCGGCCGAGTCGATCAGTCGCACCGGTACTCCCGATCCCGGTGCAGCCGCCGCGCAGCAGCAACAGCCCACACCCCCGCCTGCGCCGCCTGCACCTCCCATTCCCAAGGGCTCCGACAGAGCGCCGGCCACAGGTGAGGCTAGGGAGCTGTACTTGGAGACTTTGGCGCTGCTTTTCCGCAACTTTGACTCGGACAGGGCCGCCGAGTATCTCGTCGACCTGTACCTGAACTACGACTGCGACACGGACTGCGACAACATGTACGAGCGCATGCTCCACTTTTTGTGCCGCAGCATTCACGCCGCCAATCCGCAGACTGCGGGCCAGCAGGACCCCGTGCAGCTCTTTGCACTCGATGCTCTGCTGTCTTTCGTCGCGGCCACGGCGGACCGCCACGAGGCGGGACGTACAGGCTCGGACGAGAGCGGCACTTCCCTGCCTGGCGGGGCCTCGGTAGAGGCACTTGCGCAGCAGAAAGCGAAGAAGGCGACCATTCTCGATGGCGCAAGCCGCTTCAACGCCAAGCCCAAGGATGGCCTTGCCTTCCTCGAACGGGAAGGCCTGCTCGACTATGGCGATGCCAGCCTCTCGCGCGAAGAGCGCGTCGCTCGCTTCCTCAAGGAATGCCCGCGTCTGGACAAGAAGCTCGTCGGCGACTACATCGGCCGACCGGACAACGTCAAGGTGCTCGAGGCTTTCGTGCGCCTCTTCGACTTCAAAGACAAACCCATTGCCGAGGCGCTCCGCGAGATGCTCGAGAGCTTCCGCCTGCCCGGGGAGTCGCAGCAGATCGAACGCATCACCCAGACCTTTGCCGCCACCTACTTTGCCGCCAAGCCCGACGGCATTGCCACCGAGGACGCAGTGTTCATCCTCGCCTACTCGGTCATCATGCTCAACACGGATCTGCACAATTCGCAGAACAAGCGCCGCATGACCGTCGACGACTACCGCAAGAACCTGCGCGGCCTCAACGGCGGCGACAACTTTGAGCTCGAGCTTACCGGTGCCATCTACGAGAGCATTCGCAAGCGCGAGATCGTCATGCCCGAGGAGCATGCAGGCTCGCTCGGATTCGAGTACACCTGGAAGGAACTGCTTAGGCGTTCGCGCACCGCGGGCGCGCTCGTCGCGTGCAACACCACTGCATTCGATCGCAGCATGTTCGAGGCCAGCTGGAAGCCGGTGCTCTCCAGCATTGCGTTTGCCTTTTCGACCTTTGCGGACGACTACATGGTCGAACGCGCGATCTCGGGCATCCGACAATGCGGCATCCTCGCCTCCGAGTTCGACCTGGTCGAGGTTTTCGACTTCATGGTGCATACGCTGGCGAGCGCGACGGGCCTGCTAGACAGTTCGGTGCCGCAGACGCTCACGAGCAACCCGACCGTGGAGGTCGAAAACCAAAGAGTCACCGTCAGCCCGCTCTCGACGCGCTTCGGCGTCAACTTTAAGGGACAGCTTGCCGCCGTGGTGCTGTTCACCATCGCTAATGGCAACGTTGACGCCATCCGCACCGGCTGGTCCGACGTGTTTGAGATCTTCAAAAATCTCTTCGCGCACGGCATGCTACCAGCGTCCATGGTGATGATGGAGGATCTTGCAGACGGCCAGGTCGCAATACCGCTCAAGCCAAAGAAGATTCCAGGGCCCTCGCCGCAAGACCCGCGTGTGCAGGGCGGCGGTCTGTTCAGCACGCTCTCGTCGTACCTGCTTTCGCCCTACTCGAACACCAACGAGCCAGCACCGTACGAAGCGACGCCCGAGGACATTGAGGCGACACTGAGCTCGGTCGACTGCATCGCAAGCTGCCGCCTCGAGGACCTGTGGCACCAGGTGCTCCAGCTGAGCACCGAGTCGCACCTCTGCGCCGTGCACTACCTGCGCTTCCTCATCGAGGCGCTCACCGTCGAGAAGGTGCTCTTCCGCGAGTCAGCCGGCTGGAACACGGACGGCACCTCCACGCCCAGCAGCGTCCACGGCGCCGGCAACGGCAAGTCCAACGCTAAAGACGGCAGGCTGCAGCCTATGGCCGCCTCATCGTCGAGCAGCCTCGCGGCCGGTGGCGCCGCGTCGCACGGAGCGGCTGGTGGCCTGCCGCTGGCCTACGACCCGCGCGTGCCATTCCTGCTCGAGCTGCTGGCGCAGATCGTGGTAAGCTCGCCGGGTCAGCTCGTGGCCGAGACGTGGCCGTGGGTGGCCGAGCATATTTCGGCCGTGCTGCGCAACGCCAAGGCGTACCACCCCATGGTGGTCGAGCGCGAAGTGGCGGCGCTATTGCGCATCATTGCTGCCGCTGCGGGTGAGGAGAGTCTGCGCGACCAGATCTTCCTGGCGCTCGACCTGCTGCGCGAGCTGCCGGTCGAAATCCGCATCTCGGGATCGAAGCAGCTGCTCGCCGGTCTCACACAGGTGCTGTCGCGCCACCCAGGCTTCGTCCGCTCGCATACCGAGTGGAGCCTTGTATTTGCGCTCATCGCGGACAACTCCAACATGCGCAACGCCGACTCGGCACGGCTCGCGTTTGAAGCGACAAAAGCCGCTGTCGCCGCCCCTGCGGAGAAGGGAGGCAGCGGCGTGACGGCGGACAACTTTGTTCCGGCCGTGACGCAGCTGGTGGAGTTTGCAAACGGCGCAGACACGGCCGCCTGGCGCAACATGATGCTGCGCGAGTCGCCGCAGCGCCGCACAACGCTGACCGAGAAG